AACGACCCGACCGATTGTTTCAAGAGTTATAGCCCTGTTCCCCTATTTTCTGCTTCTTTTGAGTTCTTCAGGTGTATTATGTCTTACCGAGTTGGTTGGCTCGGGTCCAGAGAGATTTTAGTGTGAATTGAGACACTTAGTCTCTTATTTGAAAGGTTAAGTTGGAATAGTTGACCGGATGTTAACTTATGTATAAACGACCTCGGACACTCTGCTTAAGGTGCTTAAGCCAACTCAAGAACACACAATGTAAGGCATTATTACTAGAGTCAACTAATGAGCCTAAGTGTCACACTAAAGCAATCTCTATTCAAGGTACCATGGAGTTAAGGGATCCTATTTATAACTACACCCGGTTCAAATGGAAACCCTTGGAAAAGAACCGTGGTTTAAAGAAATATCAAGGGAAAGTTGATACACTACCTAGTAGAAGATTTTTTTCGTTCGACTTAAGTCCCTCAAGAGACCCGTCGAGAGGTGTCCGTCTTCGGGCCAAGTCGAAGTTAATTAACAACAACCAAAACACCAAACAAATTTATACAATTGTACAACAACAACAACCGTGCCCCACCCCACACTTAAAGATTTGGCATGTCCCCATGTCAAGGAAATTAAAGAAGAGTAAGTAAGGGACTTCCCTAGTGCTCAGTACTGATCGGAGATGGTGCCAGGATCGAGGTGACTCGCTTGTCCTAGCGCCCAAAGCCAGCCCCTGATCTTTTTCTCTGACCTAGAATTTTGAGTAGCCAAAGTGTCATCTCTAGCACTCAGGTCAGTGACCGAAGTGCGTAGGCCAGCCATGTCTTGTTCCAAGGCAGTCATCCGGGTACTCCGACGAGCCTATAATAGGCCCGCCTCATCAGCACTCTTCCCTAGTGGGGTGGTAACATGCATAGTTCCCTTATCATCATCATCCACATAATTATCATCATCATCCGCCACAACCTGCTCTTTCCCAACTATGATTTTGCTAGCCTTGAATGGGGCTTTTAATGGCAACATCCCATCTACTATGAGATTTTCAGGAACTCGTGAAACACGACACAGCTTGGTGACCAAGGAAGGGAAGTAGAACCCTTTCAGTATTTTCGGGGAGCGAATGAACATTTCATCCTGAATGAGCCAGACCACGTCAAAATCATGGTGGTTGACGAAATAGAAAATCGTTGCTGCTCTTAGCCGATTAACATCTGTAGTGTTGCTGGATGGCAGCAAACGATTGTTGATGATTGTTAGCCAACACTTATCATCCCAAGTGAGAGATTGGGAGTTCAGGGTAAATCTCGACTTTATCCATATTTGATCCCGTCAAGCCACACAGATTGTTTGACAAATTGGTTGCCACTAGACATGTTTGCGCGGGTTGTACCTGCCAAAACAAGGGCTACCATTAGTGAGGATTTGAGTTATGTGAACTGTGGGTGGTTACTCAAACTTCACCACCACCATGGTCATGTTAGCCATTACAGCTCAATTGGGGCAATTTCACAAGCACTTGGTGTGCATGGAACTATATTTTAACACACTTATCCCATGAAAGTACAAACTCACCCCCCCCAAATCAACCACAATCACTTCACAACTCAACACAATGAACTTCACACAACAACACCATGCCCTTTTCTACTACATTCTATACATTACCCATTAAAAAGAAGAAAAGAAAACTAAAAATTTAACTATACATACTACAACAACTTAAACATTAAAATTGCAAAAGAAAAGGGGAGAAGAAGAGAGAAANGGGGTGTAGTTGGAGTGAGAAGAGGATTGGGGGAAGTGGGGTTTTATTTTTAGTGGGTTTAGAAGAGAAAAAGAAAAGAAAATTAATTTTTTTAATTACAACTTACCTGGGAGGCAGAATGTCGCGTCGCGGTTCAACCGCGGTCGCGGTGAAAGAAGAAGGACAAAACAGAATACTCATAATTCATTGCGCCCGTGCTGTGATCCCACAGTGGTCGCGGTGGCCCAGAAATAGAATATTTCGAAAATGCGGCACCCGAACTGTGGTCTTCTGAGATTTTTTTTTGTTTTTTCTTCTCATTTTTTACCTTTCCGGAGTTGGTTCTTGACCCCTAATTCTCCCAATATGCACCAATATTGCCCTATACGCTAATAAAATGGTTAGTTTCATACACATCAAGTACAACATCAAAACAAAAAAAAGAAACAAAAGAAAACATGGGTTGCCTCCCATGCAGCGCGCGACACGACACAAACTCATATCATCAATCCTTATTTGTGTATTGGGGCTCCTTCAACGTTATCACTATGCTATCCCCTTTTTCTTCAGTCATTCCAAGGTAATGTCTCAACCTCTTCCCATTCACTGTAAATTTGTTCGTCCCATCTTCAGATTCGATCTCCACAACTCCACTTGGGAATATTTGCACCACTCCGAACGGTCCTGACCATCGGGACTTAACTTACCCTGAAACAACCTCAATCTTGAGTTATACAGCAACACTAATTCATTGCGTTTGAATTTCCGATCCAATATGTGCTTGTCATACATTAGTTTCATCCTTTCTTTATATAGTCTAGCACTCTCGAATGCCTGAAACCGGAAATCCTCAAGCTCATGCAACCCATTAACTCTGGTGGTGCCCGTTGCTTCCATGTTTAAGTTCAGCTGCCGCAATGCCCACAGTGCTTTGTGTTCAAGCTCAACCAGAAGGTGGCATGCCTTTCCAAATACCAACTTGTATGGTGACATACCAATTGGAGTTTTAAAGGCGGTGCGGTATGCCCACAATGCATCATCCAGCTTCCTTGCCCAATCAGTTCTTGTTGCATTCACTGTTTTTGAGAGGACACTTTTGATTTCCCTGTTGGATACTTCCACCTGTCCGCTTGTTTGTGGGTGGTATGGTGAGGCTATCTTGTGGAGAACTCCATACTTCTACAAAGGCGTGCAAATGCTCTATTGCAAAAATGAGAGCCACCATCACTGATTATTGCTCGGGGGTTGCAAAAACGTGTGAAGATGTTTTTCTTGAGGAAACTGGTCACCCCTTTCGCATCATTGGTTGGCAGAGCAACTGCTTCGACCCACTTGGAGACATAGTCAATGACAACCAGTATATACTTGTTACCGTATGAGCTTATGAAATGCCCCATGAAGTCGATCCCCCACATGTCAAACACTTCCACCTCTTGGATTGTGGTCGTTTACATCTCATGACGACGGGATTTGTTGCCCATCCTTTGACATTCATCACAGCTTTTGACCCAAGCATGGGCATTCTTGAACAATGTAGGCCAATACAGGCCTGATTCTAGCACCTTTGTTGTTGTCCGAATTCCTCCAAAGTTTCTATCATATGGCGAATCATGGCAAGCCTGCAATTCAAAGGGTTGATCTTGCCCGGGGATACACCACCGGATCATGTTATCAACACATATTTTGAACAATAGAGGTTCATGCCAATAATACACCCGATAATCACAGATTTTATTTTCTTTTGAATTAAGGGGAGATCATGAGGTACAATACCACATGCTAAGTAATTAACAATATCATCATACCATGGTGCCTCCTCCATTGTCACAACAAGTAATTGCTCATCCGGGAATGTCTCAATGATATCTTTAATCTCCGTTCTCTTTTCTGCCCCTTCCAACCTCGAGAGGTGGTCTGCTACTTGGTTGTCTGTCCCCTTTCGGTCACGAATCTCCAGGTCAAATTCTTGTAGCAATAGAACCCATCAAATCAAGCGGGGCTTTGACTCCTTCTTTTCTATCAAGTACCTAATAGCTGCATGGTCAGTATAAACAATAACTTTAGAGCCAATCAAGTATAACATGAATTTGTCGAAGGCAAATACTACAACGAGCATTTCCTTTTCCATGACCATGTAGTTCAGCTGTGCACCACTAAGCGTCCTGATTCTATAGTAAATTGGGTGCATAATTTTCTCCTTGTGCTTCCTCAAAACCGCTCCTATAGCGTAATCATTGGTGTCGCACATCAGCTCGAATGGTTGCTCCCAGTTGGGTGCAACAATGATGCGTGTAGTCACCAATCTCTTTTTCAGCTCCTCAAATGCTAACCTACAATCATCAGAAAACATAAAGTGCTGGTCTTTTTCAAAAAGCTTACATAAGGGGTTACCAATTTTTGAAAAATCCTTGATGAACCGCCTATAGAATCCGGCATGCCCAAGGAAACTTCTCAATGCTTTCACTGAAGTGGGTGCTGGGAGCTTCTCAATCACACCAACTTTTGCATGGTCTACTTCAATCCCCTTTTTGGACACTCTATGCCCCAACACTATGCCTTCTTGTACCATAAAATGGCACTTCTCCTAGTTCAGCACCAAATTTGTCTCCACACATCATTTGAGCACTCTTTTAAAGTTGTGAAGACAATCTTCAAATAAATCCCCTACCACAGAGAAATCATCCATAAACACCTCCATAATCTCTTCGACCATGTCCGTGAAAATGGCTAATATACACTGTTGGAATGTGGCCGGTGCATTGCAAAGTCCAAAGGGCATCCTCCAAAAGGCAAAGATGCCATACGGACATGTGAAGGACATTTTCTCTCTATCTTCCTGGGCTATTGAGATCTGATTGTACACCGAGTATCCGTCCAAGAAACAAAAATGGAATCGTCCAGCTAACATGTCCAACATCTGGTCAATGAAGGGCAAGGGTAAATGGTTCTTTCTGGTGGTTGCATTTAATTTCCTATAATCTATGCAAATCCTCTTCCTTGTGATTGTACGAGTTGAGATCAACTCGTTCTTCTCAATTTGTGCAACTGTCATTCCACCCTTTTTTGTTACACATTGGACGGGGCTTACCCAATTGCTGTTAGAGATGGGAAAAATGATGCCCGTGTCCAACCACTTCACTACCTCTTTCATATTTGGGTTCCTCCTTCGTTGATGTTCCCTGGAAGGTTTGTGCCCTTCTTCCAGATGAATCTTATGAATGCAAAAGGCCAGGCAGATACCCTTTATGTCTGCCATGGTCCAAGAAATGGTAGTTTTTCATTCCTGCAACACTTGCAGTAATTGTTCTACCTGCACAACTAGCAAACCAGATGATATAATAACAGGCAAGGTAGAATTGGGACCCAAGAACGCATACTTAAGGTGGGCTGGAAGCGGTTTCAGCTCCAACTGTGGTAATTCCTCTATTGATGGTTTTGAAGGTGGTGTAGCTTTCTTTTTTAAATCAAGGGGCTCAAACTGAAGTTCCCTCTTCCAGAATCTTTGGCCTTCGAGTGCCATGACCCACTCTGCCAACCCTTCACCATCCATATCCTCTAAATTTGTCCAACAAGCTCCCAATGGATCTTTGGCATTCAGGGTGTCATCATCTTCATGCAGGATCACATCCACAACTTCCATAAGTGAGCAATTTGCATATTCACTGGGTCTCCTCATAGATTGTTGAACATTGAATATTACTTCTTCATCGTTCAATCTCATTTTTAATTCCCCAGTTTTACAATCAATCAATGCTCTCCCAGTGGCTAAGAATGGCCTCCCCAGAATGATGGGTATCTCCTCATCCACCTGGCAGTCAAGAATAATAAAGTCTGTAGGGAATACAAACTTTCCCACTTGTACCAGCATATCATCAAGAATCCCCATCGGTCTTTTAACCGTGCGGTCAGCCAGTTGCAATTGCATCGAAGTCGGTCTAGCTCTGCCAAAGCCTAGTTTTGTATATATTGCCAAAGGCGTCAAGTTTATGTTGGCTCCTAAGTCATACAATGCATTTACAAAAGCATAACTCCCAATAGTACACGGAATAGTGAACCTACCTGGATCAGACATCTTTTGAGCCATGGGTCTTGTCACTACCCCGCTGCATGTCTGTGTCAAAGTTACTGTGGAAAGGTCCTAAAAGTCAAATTTCCATGACATAAGGTCCTTCATCATTTTTGCATAGCCTCGAATTTCCCTCAAAGCATCCATTAGAGGGATATTCAATAGAATCTGACGAAGCATCTCCATGAATTTCCTATATTGATCTTCTTTCTTTTGTTTTGCCAGTCTCTGAGGGAATGGTGCAGGCATCAGTCTTTGTCCACTGCTTGATGGTTGTTCTTTGTTGGAATTTTGTGGCGCAAGAGGTACCACCTGTTCTGCAACTTGTTCACTTTCTTTAGCCTTACCCTTATTAACCTGAGCCTGTTCAACCACCACTTCAGGATACGACAACATCCTCTTTAGTAACTAAAGTGAAGCAACACCAATACGATGATCCTGTGTTAGTTCATTATAGGGATACCACCCCTCAGAAGGAGAAGTCACCGTTTGATATTACAGAAGATGGGGTCCTTAGATATCAAGGATGATTATGTGTCCCTAATGTTATAGGGCTGCGCCAGCAGGTTATAGGAGAAACTCACTTTTCTCGTTATTCTATCTATCTAGGAGTGACAAAGATGTATCATGATATCAGGGAAGTATATTGGTGGGACAGAATGAAAAAGGATATATCGGAGTTTGTTGCTCAGTGTCCTAACTGTCAGCAAGTTAATATTGAGCATAAAAAACCTGGCAGATTATTGCAGGCTATGGAGATTCCGACTTGGAAATGCGAAGTTATCACTATGGATTTCATCATAGGCTTACCTCGTACCCAGCATACGTTCGATTCGATATGGGTGATTATTGATAGGCTTACAAAGTCAGCCTATTTTCTGCCCGTTAGAACTATATATTCCTTAGAGGACTATGCAAGGCCTTATATTAATGAGATAGTACGACTATATGGTTTCCCTGTATCTATTATCTCATATAGAGGAGATCAATTTACAGCTAACTTCTGGAGGTCCTTCCAAAAATGATTGGGGACTCAAGTAAGTCTTAGTGCAACATTTCATCCCCAGACGGACTGGTTGAGCATACTATTCAGACACTGGAGGATATGTTACAAGCTTGTGTGATAGACTTCAAAGGTAGCTGGGATGATCATCTGTCACTTATTGAGTTCACATATAATAATAGCTACCATTCCAGTATTCAGATGGCTCCATACGATGCTCTCTACGGACAGAAGTGTAGGTCGCCTATAGGGTGGTTCGATGTTAGGGAAGATACATTAGTAGGACCACAATTGGTACAGTAGGCAATCGAGAAAATTATGCTTACACAGGAAAGGCTATTAGAAGCTCAAAGCCGTCAGAAGTCATATGCGGATAATCGACGTCGAGACTTGGAATTCAGGTTGACGATTGGGTATTCCTAAAGGTATCATCGATGAAAGGCACTATGTGGATCAGAAAAAGGGGAAAACTTAGCCGTCGATACATTGGACCATATAGGATCATACGCAAGGTAGACAAGGTAGCATTTGAGTTGGACTTGCCTTCGGACTTGGAGCCTATACATCTAGTCTTTCATGTGTCTATGCTCCGTAAATGTATCGGAGATCCTTCCAGAATTATGTCAGTTGACGACATTCAGGTCACATAGCAGCTATCATATGAAGAAACTCCCATAGTTATACTAGATAGATAGGTTCAGAGATTGAGAATTAAAGACGTAGCTTCGGTTAAAGTACTTTGGATAAACAACAATGTGGAAGAAATTACTTGGGAGGCCGAAGAAGACATGATGTCTAGATATCCCTACTTATTTTCTTCTCCAGAGAATGGTCCAACTGAGACGTCACAACCTTAAGGTATGTGTATGGATTCCTATGTTAGTTATTGTCATTGGTCGTGTGAGGACATTGTCGTTATTGATGATTGTGGTCCTATGTGGCGTTAAATCATTGTGTTTATGTAGGAAGAGTTGGTAGTAGTATTGTTACAAACGAGTCATTGCCAAAGTTATATAGATCCCGGGGAGTTAAACATTCAAGGATGAATGTTTGTAAGAAAGGAAGGATGTTACATCTCGCATTTTCGTACGTTAAAGTTTTGTCTTCAGTTAATCAACGTAGATTTGGAGATGAGATTATCTTGAGGTTAACGTATTTATGCTATTTATAACAAGAAGTAAGTAAGTGTCATGAAAGATAAAGGGTACACAAATTAAAGAAAACGAGTTTTGTTGAAGGTTGCCGATTTGGGATAAAACACGGGTCGAGCAATAATACCTGATCTTAATGGACTAGTACCATACAAGGTAGCATATAACCATGATAATATAATGTATAAAGTATATTAAAAATGAGTAGTATTTTAAGTAATTTGAGATAAATTTTAATGATACGGGTAATTGATTAATTATTGGGTAACGAGACACTATCTAACTAATTGATAAAATTAATTGATAAGTGTCACGACCCTAAAAGCGACTCGGTCGTCATGGCGCCTATCGTGAAACTAGGCCAGCCAACACAATTCCCGAATTAACCATTATTCAATAAAAAATTATTTTTAAGCCTTTAATTAATCAATATCTCATAATGTAAGTCTAAATAAACAGTGCAGAATAAATACACAAGCTCGACAACGGGGTGTCACAAGTCACGAATATCTACTAAGCTCTAAAAATATACTAAAACAAACTGAGGAATACCAGAGGGAGAAAAGCAGGGTTGCGGACGTCGGGTAGCTACCTTGCTAACTCCAATGACTCTACCACTGAGCAATCAACACCTGCTATCGGGTTCAGAAATACCTGAAACTGCACACAAGGTGTAGAGAGTAATATGAGTACGCCAACTCAGTAAGTAATAAAGTAAATAAAAGCTGAGCAGTAAGAAAACACGTAAACCATGTCATAACGCTTCAACAAATGAAGGACATCTCTAACACAGTACAGAAATCATTTACTTCATAAATCATGCTCCGTTTCAGTAAAAATCTTTTAAAACAACTTTCAATTGTTTCAAACGAGTGATAAAAATAGTAAGTAAACAAAATGATAGAAACGTAAACAGCCCCTCGGGCAAAACATGTACCATAAACCGCCATTCGGACATAATATCAACAGACCCAGCCCCTCGGGCTACCTCACAATCACTCGTAATAAGCCCCTCGGGCAAACATGGATCAAGAACAGCCCCTCGGGAAAGACCATGAAACAACAATAGCCCCTCGGGCTACATCATATCACCCACACTTGGTACCCGCGCTCACTGGGGGTGTGTAAACTCCGGAGGGGCTCCTACAGCCCAAGCACTATAACAAGCCATCTCATGGCATAATCAAACTTGCCCTCATCCTCATAACAAGCCACTTCGTGGCATAACAAATCAGGCCCTCAGCCTTTTAATCATGAATCAGTACCATACTACTGCGGCGTGCATCCCGATCCCACAGTATCCTCACAGTACAGGCCCTCGGCCTCACTTAGTCAGAAATCTCTCAAGCCACTCGGGCAACAGTAAAACATGATGCTCAACCCAAAATATCCTTTAAAATGTCAAAAACGAGTAAATATGGCTGAGTTATGAAAATAGTAGAATACATCATGACTGAGTAGAAAAATGTAATCAAATAAGTGAGGAATAGTAGTAAAAATCCCCCTAAGGGTCCCAAAACATTTGGCACGATGCCCAAATATGGCATTCAACCCAAAACAATACAATACATTCCAAAACACAATGATAGCAAATAAATTTTCAACCAAATACGTGGTTTAACAGTCATACGGGATGGACTAAGTCACAATCTCTAATGGTGCACGACCCCACACTCGTCATCTAGCGTGTGTGTCACCTCAAAGTAGCACAACGATGTGAAATCCAGGGTTTCATATCCTCAGGACAGACATTTACAATTATTACTTACCTCATCCGGTCTAAACTCTAGCCCGCGATGCCTTTGCTTCTCGACTCGGCCTCCGAATGCTCCAAATCTAGCCAAAAGCAGATTCATACCATCAAAATATGCTAAGAGAACAAATCCCACTCGAAATATCCAATTTACACCAAAAATCCCGAAATTGGCCAAACCCAGCCCCTGGGCCCACGTCTCGGAATTCGATGGAAACCACAAAACTAGAATCCTTATTCCCTCATGAGTTTACCATTATCAAATTCATCAAAATACGACCTCAATTGCCCATTCAAATCCTCAAAAGAATTTTCAAACTTTTCTTCCATTTTCCCCAATTTCCACTCTAATTTCTTAAATTAAATGATGAAATTCAAGACTAAATCATGGAATTAAACCAAATATGAATGAAGAATACTTACCCCAAGTGCTCCACTGAAAATCTCCTAAAATTTCACCTTCTCCCGAGCTCTTTAATGGTTTTTGTGATATTGGATTTAAACCCTCAATTTCCAAATATAATCTGTCTGCCCAGATATTTTCTTCATCGCGAATGCGGCAGCACCCTCGCGTTCGCAAAGTACAAAGCTTCAATGACCAAAATTCCTTCTATGCAAACGCGTGGAGCCTCTCATGAACGTGATGCATAACTGACTCACCTCTTTGCGAACGCGACGCCTACTACGCGAACGCGTAGAACAAATGCCTTGAGGGACCAGCTATTCCACTTCCTCTATGCTAACACGATACCGATCACGTGTTCGCGATGCACCACTATACAAACCTTCGCAATCGTGACTCCCACTTCGTGAATGCGAAGCACAAATCCTCTCTTGCCTCCGGTTCCCTTCGCGAACGCGAAACTCCCCTCGCGAATGTGAAGAAAGGAAACCAGCAACTGAACGCCAGATTTTTTTGCAATTCCAACAAATCCAAAACTAGTCCGTTAACCATTCGAAACTCACCCGAGGCCCTCGAGACCTCAACCAAACATGCCAACATATCCCATACCATCATTCAAACTTGTTCCAACCTTCAGAACACTAAAAATAACATCAAAACATCAAATCATCAGATTCAAGCGTATGAATTCCAAAAACTTCCAAATTCCGAATTCGATCAAAAAGTCTATCAAACCTCGTCCGAACGACCGGAAATTTTGCACACACATCGCAAATGACACACTGGACCTACTCCAATTTCTGGAATTTCATTCCGACCCCTATATCAAAATCTCACCTATCAACCGAAAACGCCAAAATTCCAATTTCGCCAATTCAAGCCTTAATCAACCACGGACCTCCAAAATACATTCTGGACGCGCTCCCAAGTTCCAAATTACCTAGCGTAGCTAAAGAAATTATAAAAATCCAATTCCGAGATCGAATACTAAAAAGTCAAAACTTGGTTAAACCTTTCAAATTTTTAAGCTTCAAACTGAGAACTGTTCTTCCAAATCCATTCCGATTACCCTGAAAACCAAAACCA